CCCAGCCCCTGGCAACCACCGTCCTACTTTCTGTCTCTATGGACACGGCCACTTCCAGGTACCCCCCATCATGGAAGCATGCAGTGTTTGTCCATTTGTTTCTGACTTATTTCATTCAGCAAAATGTCCTCAAGCCTCATCCATGTTATAACATGTCACAGTTCCTTTCCTTTTAAGGATGCATAATAGCCATCGTGTGTCTACATGTTTTTGCATGTTCCTTTCATAATAATATAATAACAATATGATACACATATGTATTTACATACCACATTTAGTTCATCCATCTGTTGATGGACACCTGGGTCGTTTCCACATTTTGGCTCTGAGTCCTGCTTTCCATCCGCTGTGTGAACTTTGATGAGAAGCACATCTGTTATTCAGGATGGGCCTAGAGTTTTATTTTGTATTTTTATCACTTACGTATTTCTAATTAGCCCCACCCAGGCATAAGTGAAGTCAAATCAGTTCACCCAGAAAACAATGTGGAGGGTTCTCAAAACAGAACTACCATATGATCCCACAATCCCACTTCTGGGTATATACCGAGAGAAAATGAAAGCAGGATATTAAAGAGATGTCTGCCCTCCTGTGTTCACTGCAGCATTATTCACAATAGCCAAGATAACCTGTGTCCATCAACGGATGGATGGCTAAAGAAGATGTAAGGTACACGCATGGAGATCTGAGGGATATCCTGCCATTTGTGATAATACGGATGGACCTCGAGGGCATTGTGCTGAGTGAAATAAGCTAGACAGAGAAAGAGAAATACTGCGTGGTATCCTTTATGTGTGGAATCTTAAAAAAAAAAAAAAAAGGTCAAACTCATAGAAACAGAAGGGAAAAGAGAGGTTTGCCAGGGTGCAGACTTTCAGTGATAACATGAATGAGGTCTAAGGATCTTAAATAAAACCTGGGAACCACAGTTGATAACACTGTGTTGTATAAGTGAAATTTGCTAAGAACTTAAGTGTTCTAACCCCAAAAAAGGTGAGCATGTGAGGTGATCGATATGTTAATTAACTGGATGGGAAGAATCCTTTCATGGTGGATGCATATATCAAATCACCTGGATGCACGCTTTAAATATCTTTCCATTTTTTGTCGGTTTTACCTGAATAAGGCCGAGATCGTTAGAAAGTAGTTGATCCAAGGCACAGGGACTGAGCATCTCCTTTGTTTGCAATCGTCAACTTTCAGACTCGGACGAGGTCTCAGAGAGCATGCAGACAGCCTTGGGGTTCCTGCACAGTATCCTTGGGCCCGGGGCCCTCCCACAGGTCCCCACTGGTGGAAGAGGCACTGCTGTGTGAAGGACACATGACTCACCCCTGGAGAAGTTCAACTCCTAGGAAGCCAGTTCGCACTTAAATTTCATTCATGATGCTTTCAGCCATCATAGCTGGTTGGGTCCTTCCATAACAAAATGGAAGGCCACTCTTCCTCCTGATGAAGCTAGCTTCCCAATACTAGAAGGCAGATACTCTGTCCCTATTCAAGTTTCTCTTCTGTGCCATGAAAGCCTGGATTACTTTGAAGAAGGGGATTCTTCAAGACAGTTTGCGTAGTCCTTTCTCCCCCACCACCTTGTCTGGATGTTCCACAGTTAGGCAGGGCCCATCCTAAGATACACTGTTGGTACATTGCCCAAAAATGGGCTAAACAGCTCAGACGGGGAAGAGCAAACTGTTACTTCTTCTCTGTCTCTTCCCCCCGTGGAGGCAGTTTAATATAACAGTGGCGGTAGCTACTGCAGAAATATTGGCAGGATGAAACAGAAGTGCTTTGCAAATGCAGTCCTTCTGGCGTGAGGACCACATGGGGAAAGTAACTGAGATACAGATACCGGATCCAGCCTCATTGGTTCTAGTTCAACAGAACTGGGGTAGGGCCCACTTTAACTTATTTTTTTTTTATTTTACTTTTTAAAGTTTATTCATTTATTTTGAGAGAGAAGGAGCAAGCTGGGGAGGGGCAGAGAGGGAAGAAGAAACAGGATCCCAAGCAGGCTCCACACCATCAGTACAGAGCCCAGTACAGGGCTCAAACTCACGAACCTTGAGATCATGACCTGAGCTGAAATCAAGAGTCAGTCACTTAACTGACTCAGCCATCCAGGCGCCCCTAACTTATTTACTGATGCACATTCAGATTTGGAAATCTCTCTGTGGGACATGCCACGCAGGTCAGGGTAATAGGGATCCTTTTTTTTTTTTTTAAGTTTATTTATTTTGAGAGAGAGAGTGAGTGGGGGAGGGGCAGACAAAGAGAGAATCTCAAGCAGACTCCACGCTCAGCACAGAGCCCAACATGGGGCTTGATCCCGTGACAGATCGCAATATCCAGAGTCAGATGTTTAACTGACTGAGCCACCCAGGCGCCCCAGGGCAATGGGGGTCCTAAAGAAAGCAAAGCCACACTTGCATGAAATAAGCCATGATCTATACCTGACATGCCAAGACCATGGTCAGGCCTTGAGTCCAAGGTTGAGGGGTCCTTTGGAACCAGCCTTCAATCCTCTGGCCAGTTTATTGGTGACAACCTGTCCAGCAGCCTGGGTGCCGATTTGGATACATAGACCCATGAGCAGAGTTCATCCTGAGTGACTGTGCATGTACTGGTGAAAAACTGCTCTCTCCACTAGGAAGTCCTGTCTCGCCAGAGGCTGCTCACCCTGGCCTGTCATTCTCTAGTGAGTGATGGTCTCTGTACTTCCCTCCTGTGACCTGTAAGACCTAGGGAAAACCCTAGGAAGACGACACAGAGTGTCTGGGATGGGGAGATGGGATGAGGTTCTTGATACTGACCTCTAAGATCTGGTGTCAGAAGCTAA